TGTGAATAAGAACTGCCCAGAGGCAAATGGAGTGGGTTTTAAAAATCAATTCTACTGCAAGCAGTAGAGAGGTTTAGGAGTGCCAAAACCATCCAACAGCTAGAATCTAACAGCAGCTGCCTGGATCCTCCTTTCACACCTGCCAGGTGGTGGTGTAGGAGGAGCGGGGGAAGTTGCTTCTAGGCTTCAGGGCCTTCTGCCAGATCTCTGTCTCCTTTGGTTGTAACCTAAAGTGTTAACCTTTCCTAGGAGCCATGGTACACCCTCTGACCACAGACTCTTCCAGGTTCTGGTTCATGTTTCCACTATCTATAAGGACAGAAACAAGTATGTGTGCATACACATGTATATAGTTGGGAGTAGGATACCATGAGAAAGTCAGTGGGATTCAGCTATTGCACAAGAGATAAGTGAGAGCAAAAGGTACCATACGACCCATGAAGAGTGATCAGTGAGATCCTTGGCCCTACAGTTGTCCTGATACACTTCCAACATCTTTTGCAATAAGAAATCTGACTCCATTTTTTGCTGTTTGGCTGCTGACTGCTTTTAAGCAGCACTCTCTTTTCTCCACATCTGGGCAAGCTGTTAAAAAAGCCTAGGTGCTCTTTTTGGTGCTGGCAGATTTCAACTACATGCACTGGGTACGTTTCTCCCAGCCTCACCCCTTAACCACAGTAAAAGCCCCAAGCTTGTCTCCTTTCCTGGCTCTCTCTGGTCATTTTCTGACCGGCTGGAAGGCCCTCTTTGCTCCCACAGGCAGACTCAATTATGTGATACACCTTTTTCATAGGTGTGGGAAACAAACACTTTCACTCACCACTGGAAAGACACCTCCTAGAAGGACAGTTTGCCAAAATCTATTAACTGTTTAAATTGGCATATTAGGAGAAAGGGAGGAATAGGGAGAGATTTGTTAAAGGATACAAAATGATGGGTTCTAGTGTTCTGTACCATAGGATGACTAGAGTCAATAACATAGTTTCAAATAGCAAAGAAGATTTTGAGCATTCCCAACACAAAGAAATGACAAGTGTTTGAGATGACAGATATGCTAATTACCAGACCAGATCACTATACATTATATGCATTGAAACATTACTATGTATCCCATAAACATATATGAGCGTTATTTGCCCTTTTTTTTTTTTGAGACAGCGTCTCACTCAATTGCCCCGGCTGGAGTGCATGGCACAATCTTGGCTCATTGGAACCTCTGCCTACTGGGTTCAAGTGATCCTCCCTCCTCAGCTTCCTGAGTAGGTGGGACTACAGGCATGTGCCACCATACCCAGCTAATTTTTTGTTTGTTCAATGTTTTTTGTTTTTTTGAGATGGAGTCTTACTCTGTCATCCAGGCTGGAGTGCAGTGATGCAATCTCAGCTCACTGCAACCTCCACCTCCCAGGTTCAAGCGATTCTTCTGCCTCAGCCGCCCGAGTAGCTGAGATTATAGGCGCCTACCACGCCTGGCTAATTTTTGTATTTTTAGTAGAGACGGGGTTTCACCATGTTGGTCAGGCTACTCTTGAACTCCTGACCTTGTGATCCACCCGCCTCGGCCTCCCAAAGCGTTGGGATTACAGGTGTGAGCCACTGTGCCCAGCTAACTAATTGTTATTGTATTTGTAATAAAGATAGGGTTTCACCATGTTTGCCAGTCTCAGTCTCCTGACCTCAGAGGAGCCACCTACCTCCGCCTCCCAAAAGTGCTGGGATTACAGGAATGAGCTATCCCAACCAGCCTACCAAATTTTTTTAAATATTAAAAAAATTTTTTAAACTGAACAAAGGACAGAGAGAGGAAGAAATATTTTCATGGAGCAGACAACTACGATTTTAGAGGTCAAAGGAACGAAACAAACAAAATAAATAAATGAAGAATCCAGGCACAGTGGCTTATGCCTGTAATCCCAATATTTTGGGAGGCTGAGGCGGGTAGATCATGAGGTCAGGAGTTCAAGACCATCCTGGCTAACACGGTGAAACCCCGTCTCTACTAAAAATACAAAAAGTTAGCTGGGTGAGGTGGCACGCGCCTGTAGTCCCAGCTACTTGGGAGGTTGAGGCAGGAGAATCACCTGAACCCTGGAGGTGGAGGTTGCAGTGAGCCGAGATTACACCACTGCACTCCAGCCTGGGTGACAGAGTAAGACTCCATCTAAAAAAAAAGAAAAAGAAAACCATTAAACAAAGTCAGAAGGCATGTAATGAGTTATAATTAAATATAAATAGGAAAATTAATGGTTAATTTTCCATGCCTTTGTAAAGAGTTCATGAGTTAAATTTAGGAAATTGTTAAAAACGGAAAAAACTAGATAAAAACATTTATTTGTATACACACAAAAATAAATTAGCATATGCATTGACTAGGCAATTCTAGTTAAAAGAATCATCATAAGGAGATCATGAGTCTAGTTATAGCTCATTGGGGTCACAACTACATCAGTTTCATTCAGCATTGTACATATAGCACTTAGCACAATATTTGATATGTAATAAGTGCTCAACAAATACTTTTTTGAAAGAAACATACACAGATGTGTCTGTACACTCATTCCAATTCCTTCTAACAGTAAAAAAACAGATCTGACAAAATCCATCAATAGGGGAACCAATAAAGCAACCATGGATTCTCTAACACAAGGTAAGAATAAAGGTGACCTAGAAAGACATCCAAGATACATTACATGAAAGGGAAGATGCAGCTCAATGTAGAGTATGAGCCCAGTTTTTTCTTTTTTTATTTGAGACGGAGTTCTTGCTCTTGTCGCCCAGGCTGGATGCCTCCCGGGTTCAAGCGATTCTCCTGCCTCAGCCTCTGGAGTAGCTGGGATTACAGGCATGCACCACCATGCCCGGCTAATTTTGTATTTTTAGTAGAGATGGGGTTTCTCCATGTTGACCAGGCTGGTCTCAAACTCCCGACCTCAGTTGATCCGCCAGCCTCAGCCTCCCAAAGTGCTGAAATTATAGATGTGAGCCGCTGCGCCTGGCCTGCCCCGTTTTATTAGAAATGTAGACAATATGTACACAGGAAAAACAGGGAGGCCACAAAGTAGTTGATATCCCTCGGGGGTGGCCTTATGGGTTACTTTAACATTCTCTAAAGATTTTTAAAAAAATGTTTACAGTGAGGATAAATCACTTTTGACTCAATAAAACATAAGCTTATTTATTCATGTTTTTATAAGAGAAATGACAGGACCCCCCCTCACCCCCCACCAAGAAAGTGAGGCAGGCGAGTAGGGCTGTTACAGATGAGAGGGAATTGGGGTCACAAAGACATCCTTGTGACCAGCAGTTTAATTCAGCTGATCTACAGAGGGAATCAAACTCTGATGGGGAAGTCCCTTGACCTGTAGGCCTGACTACCATGGTTCAGAGGCTCACAATGGGGATAGCGTGCCACAAGAACAATTAAGTCCCTCATCCCTGGGTAGGTTTTGAGAAATCTGACCTATATGGGCTTCCCTTGCTAAGGAAGGTACCTGGGCATCCACCTTCAGCTTTTATAGTCTTTTTCCAGAAAAAGGATGAACTGATTTGATTTTTGTCTTACTAAGTCTAGTCACACTTAATTCTACATCCATAAGTTTACACTAAATCACCTTAATTGGAACGTGGGGATGCAGACAAATTCATGAAACATTTAGATAACTTCCTAGGTTATTTCTTTCAATTTGTGTGAAATTTACTAATCAGATTCTGAGAAGGCAATCTTACTCATTTTTAATTTTGGGAACTGCCTTACCATCATCTTCATATACTGCCTCAAAATGTCTGAAGGAGAAAAGAGAGGGGAGAAGGCATGGAAGTCATGAGCTATGTCACATGGTTTAGAAAAAAGCTCAAAGTAAAAAGACAGAGAACTAGATATTAGTAGAAACCAAGCATCTACCTTAGTCCACTCACTATGCTAAACACTCTGTATGTGCTATTCTCATTCAATCCTTCATATGGTTTAACTGTGGTAATATGAATCCCATTTTATAGATGAGGAAACTAAGGCTTTAGGAAAAAAGTAAAAAATTCTTTCTTCAAAGCTTGCAGAGTTGAACATGACTAAGAAACAGCCACTGTATTAAAACTTTGGGAGGCTTTAGGAAAACTCTGGGAATGAAAAGAAGAAAAACGGTAGGAGCAGTTGTAAAGTTTTCTTTCAGTAAATTTGTGAGCAGAGGAAAGAAGATGAGTGTAAAGAGGCACAAGACACTTTGGGGACATAGGGTGTTTTTAAGTCTTGGTAGCCCTAGAGTGTTTATGTAGTGTCTACCTGGTATGTGTCATCAGGCACTTGGGAGGTGTCTGAGGTTCGCAGATAGAAGGAAGGGAATAACTGCTACCACAACCAAGAGTGTGGGAGGGAAAGGGATTAAGAGCGCACAGCTGGAGAACAGCCTGGGTTAAAACATGGGCATTTTCTTCCTCATTGTCTTCAAGCCTGCTACTGAAAACTTTTTTAAGTGCCTACTGACAGAGCTGGGAGATTGATATGAAAAAGGAAATATTCTCCTCAGAAGCAATGTCATGTAATGGGAGTTATAGTTTCTGTAATTTAGATGTACTAAGTGTGGTCTAACAGGTTTTTGTGGGATTTGTCTGGAAAATGAATACCATATGTTAACACTCTTTCTAAGGGAAAATGCTTGAGGAAGAAACCACCTTACAAACTAATTTAAGTGTGACCCAGTCATTAATTATTAGGACTATAGAGACTGCCACCACCCAGTTCTGGGCGAGTCAGGAGCAGTGGACTATGAAAAGCTGTTACTGCCACCTGCCTCATTTTCTGCCTTTTGAAACAAGTCATAGGATCACAGAACACCCAGGAGCAAGCAGGCTGATCTTTCTAAAAACAAAAGAGATCAAAAACCTTTTCAGTGTTTTGCTCTGACATAATGATTCTCTGAGACAAGTGGTGGACATTAGTTTTCTCCTTGTAGCTCCCTCCCCTTTTTCACCTACCAAGGAAAACAAATAAGACAATCTGAAAACAATTAAAAGGATTTAAAAATTATTTACTTTTATTACAATAAATAATTATCAATAATAGAATTAAATAATTTTCAATTAAAACTACCGCATTACTTTGGGGTTTCACAGCAGCAGAAATAAACATAAATCCAGTTGAAAGGGCAAGGCTTCCAGAATCCAGTGACGAGAAGCAGTCTGGTCTTGATTATTTGGGCTAGCAATGGGAAACACTAATACAGATAATGCAGAAACGAGGAAGTGCTTCGTCATACTCTATTTGCACATCACATTATCTGACACTTCACAATATTCCAGCTAAGTAATTTAAGCAAGTCATGAAGCTGTTTCTGCAAGAGTTAGAGTTTTCTCCCAGCAAGCCTGCCGCACAACTGCTCCCAGAGCCACCCGCTGGCCCATCATCATGCAGACCCAGAAGCCTCCACCCTGGTGGAAGCAGCCATCTTCCTCAAAGCTCTTTCTGGCTCACACAACCCCTGGTTAAAGGAAAATGGGAATGTGACATATTTAAAGGGCCCTTCTCGAGGACTGAGATGAACTGGAAGACAGACAGACTGTGGCTCCAGATCAGGAAGAGGCTTCGGAGTAAGGGCCACATGCAGATTAAGTCCACGTGAAGAAACGATCTAATAAAGGCTGACCATTTTGCTGATAATCAAGTAGACTGCATGTATATATGAATATATCATACATACATATGTGGAGAACATGTGTGTACATATTTCAAAGGCATATACACACATAACCAGATAAAATAAATGGTACATACATTGCTACTATGAACACAGCAAGTCCCAGACAGACCAATGACTAATATGTCCAATTAAACTCCTCTTCCTCTCCACCTACTTGCGGCAAACATATTCCAGTTGCAAAAGTGGTGTTGTTTCTAGGTTCCTGAGAAGGAATGGAATTGTCCTCTTGCTTCAAGACACTACAGAAAGCCAACTGCAACAGTCCAAGCTAAACGCAATAGGTGGCATGATTCCTGCCTCCTATTCTTAGTCACAGGGCATGAACCCTTACTCAAAAAGATACCAATTTCTTTTGCTACAATTGGCTACAAATTTACATATTATGTTAGATGAAGGGGAGGGGAGGAGGTAGGCAGCAGGGAGTTTACACCTTGGCAATTATTCATTGCCTTTCCCTTTACCCAGAGAAAACGCTACCTGAAAAAAAAAGAACAACAACAACCCTGAAATTTAGAGTTCAGTAATAAATTCTGCTTTCTTGGCACATTTTTTGAAATGAGCGTATCATTACACATAGTTAGGTCTTTATCTCCTGAATGGTTTTCCGGAGAGGCAAGTTATCTAAACAACAAAATAAGCTATAAAAAAAGTTAATATTGTGAGCAGTCTCAATGCGTAGTTAGTATACTCAAAGTCTAATGCTGAATGACAACAGTAATTTAAACAAATGTATTTATTTATTTTGAGATGGAGTCTTGCTCTGTCGCCCCAGCTGGAGTACAGTGGCATGATCTCGGCTCACTGCAATCTCCATCTCCCAGGTTCAAGTGATTCTCCTGCCTCAGCCGCCCCTCTAACTGGGATCAAAAGTGCATGCCACTACGCCCAGCTAATTGTTTTTGTATTTTTAGTAGAGATGGGGTTTTGCCATGTGGCCCAGGTTGGTCTTAAACTCCTGGGCTCAAGCAATTCACTTGCCTTGGCTTCCCAAAGTGCTGGGATTACAGGTGTGGGCCACCATGCCTGGCCCAGATTTATGATGCTATTCACAGATCTTGCAGAATTATAACATGCTCCTTCTACAACTTGGTTAATGACATCAAGTACTAACTAAGTATGTTCCAGGTCAAGAACTTACTCTTGAGATAGTCAAATAGTGCTTGTTGAGAATATCAGAATCTAGAATTCATGACGAATTGTATATATTTTAATAAAATTCTAAAATCAATTCTAAGTTTAATTGCTACCCATAGAAACTGCTCAAGAGAAAGTATTAGCCAAAGAGACATGAAATATCCACAGCATTTGGCTACCCGCTGCGTCTTCAATACTGTCTCTAACTTCAATTTTAGTATATGTGTTGCTGAAGAGAAGAGTCTGCCTCCAATTGCAACATAGCATTAAGGTACTCTATAGACAGCATCCAATATACATGCTTTAAAAACAGCACTACTCTGATTTAGCCTGGGTTTCTAAGAATGATTCTCTGGAGAGAAAGACCATGTGAATGGTCTGTGGAAGACCAGAACAATCCTGTTGCGATCCAAATGAATTTTCATGGAGACAAGCCTTTGTTGAAATATTCTTAAATCAGTGTATGTGGCATCTTCCAATTCTGGGAACCTGGCCTTTCTAGGCAAATGCAACACAACCCCCTCACTTAAGCTACCTGTGAGAGAGCTACAAATGGCAAAACTTTTTTGCTACTCCAAATGTTAATACATTAAAAGATCTGTCTATAGAGAGAGCAGATCCCTGCTCAAAAAAAAGAGAGACAGATTATTATCTCTTGCATATTTGTTTACTAAAGAGCAAAGCATCTTTTTAGCATGCAGGCTTAAAAGGTTACATCTATTCTGCACTGTAGAAACACTGGAAATGAATAGCCAACAAATCCAATTCCCACAGCTCCATGCAAGGAAGAAGCATATCACCACTTTCTCTGGAAAAGTTAGACAAGCATGATTAACCATATACCCTAAAGTAACTGCCTGCCAATGTCAGTCATTTGTACCACTGTCAAATATAAAAACTAAAATACGCAAATCACATGGGTCACATAATCAATTTACTTAAGCTTCTGAAAATGCCCAGAGAATCGTACGTTCAAGTTTCAGAGATTTAACACCATTTCACTATTAAAACTGTCACTTTAAATGTACGTGTCAAAGTGCTTCGAATGTAGCATACTAGTTAAAATTCTTCCTGGAAGGTTCTAGTACTGGCAGCTAACTTACTAAAGTTATTCACCCACAGGGTGTTCAAGAAAGGGCATGCTGCCTTACAAAGACACCTCATGGGACAAAGAAAATTCTGGTCTGACTTCACAAATTTTCTATAGAGTACTTAAGTCCAGAACTGAGGTCAAGATGAGGCCATTCTGAACACAGGCATCATTACAACCAAAGATTTCTATATCTGTTTTTGGCTTTTCGGGAACCCAAAGTCAAAAGTTCCAGCCCATCAAGCTTACTTTGTTCCCTCTGGCACGTTCCTAGTACTTGACTAGTCAAGAGATCTAAGGCCATCAAAGAGATCTGAATGTGACAACATCTAGGGCAACAAGTCAAGACTGAGTGGGCAGGCTCTGTCCTACGTGATGGCTAGTTAAGAGGAAAGCCAATGACAAATAGGCTTCTATATAAAATACAAAGGGGAAAAGTAGCCTCTGACTCAAACACCTTCAGATTTTTATTCTTCATAGGTCACAGAGTCAAAGTCTGTTAAGGAAGCAAGGTACATTCCAAATGCATTTTGAATGATTACAAAATAAACCAGTTCTTTGAAAACAACACTTAGGAAACTTTCAAATTCAGGTGGTCCTTTCTTCCCTTTAAAGTGGATACTATGCCTGCTTTTTCCTTTGTATATTTTCCCAAAGCTCAGGCTCCAGGTCATAATCAACTCTCTTTTGGTATCTGTTTAGAATTTGGGTAACTCTAGACATATACTCCCCTCCTCTCAATACCTCTAAATTACAATAAATAACATGATGGTATTAGTACCGTAACATCCTAAACTCAGCATTTAGCTTTCTTTTCAAAATTAGAATTAAAAGTATTTTAATAATGACGTTAAAATGCCAAGGAGGGGGCCAGGCGTGGTGGCTCACACCTGTAATCCCCACATTTTGGGAGGCCAAGACGGGCAGATCACGAGGTCAGGAGTTCAAGATCATCCTGGCCAATATGGTGAAACCCCGTCTCTATTAAAAAAAAAAAAAAAAAAATATATATATATATATATATATATATATATATATTTTTTTTTTTAATGCCAAGGAGGAATATTTAGCTTTTTATTTGGAAGTTATTCACTCTCTTACCCTTAAGACTAAAACCCATAAACTCTATCAATTACCTATTTGTGGAAGAATGACACTTTAAATTGTGGCCATTTCAAACTGTGTACTGCACTAACATCATGGATTATATTAAAGGATCACAAAAGGCAGCATTAGCATTCTCTATCCAGGTATTATTAAATCTTTTTATCCCATGCCCACCTCAAATCTAGAATTATTATCTGACAAGCCTGAAGGATGCTTTTTCATGCCATAACCTAAAAAGACATTTCTTACAGGTGTATGCAACTTTGGTCGGCAGAAACACATTAAGAACCTCTGGCCTAGCTAAGGCACTCTATTCTGAAAGTACAGAAACATGCATGTATGCTCCTTATCTGGCATTGCTCCCCAAAAGGCAGCTCACTGTATGCTGGGGAGAAAGGCTGGGTGTGAAGTCACCCACAATATCATGCATAAGCCTGAAAGACCTTTTATACTTTGGAAATGTTATAGTAATTGGCATGACATAAATGCAGACAGCTACCTGTAATGAATCCTGCCTCAGCTGCTATATCTCTAGGCAACAAATGGGGGCTTTCAAGATGGCAAACTAAAACAAGAAGAGTCAGCAGTACACTAAAGCTTCACAAGTTTCCTGAAACAACAGTTAATTGCTCTATTTCACTTTCCCCTTGTGAACAGCACTTTTCTTTCATCTAGCAATGTCAATAAAACTGACTATGGCATAATTCTTTACCACTATAAGGAAACAGGTCATAAAGTACAGGCACAAAACAATTTTCAAATAAATATGATACAACCAAAAGAGCTGCAGAAATGCACTTTTGAAGTAAAAGAGCCCCCAAACTATTGGACATGACCCTAATGCCAGAAGTAAAGGGTATTTTTACTAGACTGTACAAGGTGAAGAAAGCCTGCAGTCCAAATTTATCATTTTATAAATATGTATCAGTTCATTTCTTATATAATACAGATTAGCCTCATTCTTGTGTACAAGGTCAGCAAAACAGTAAAATAATTAGCTTAGAAATCTTAAAGCCTTTTCCCCACCCCGAATTAACACTTTATCCAGTTCAATTTTACAGATCACAAAGAACAAGGTATACAAAAAATAGTTACCGTCACTTAATTAGTTAATTCTCTGACTTCCATGATGGCAATTAACAAACATGGGTTCACTCTCCACATTCTTCTGCATCAATTTCTCATCTATTTCCAATGTTCATCTGTGTCTCAGAGAAAGTCACCAAATACACCTCAACCTTTATAATTTTTTAAAATGAGTATAGAACTATGAGCTAGTGCTGTGACTCATTTCTAATAACTTCAATGACAATGATTGGAATTTATAAATTTTAAAAGTATCAATTACAGTTTTTTTTACAAAGCAGCAGGCTGAAATTCAACAAAGAAACACACTATAATTAAATTTAGCAATGGTCACATTCATAAATAATAGTGATGAATTTAATTACATATCAACACAGTGGTGCCTATTTTATCCAAGTGCAACCTGTCCAAAAAAAGGGGCTTTAAGATACACTCTTCATTAAAGCACAAACTTCATCCAGTGAAAAATAAAAGAATATCGGCAAGTAAATTTCACCACCACCAAATTAAATGAAGACTAAAAAAGAAACAGAAGAAAATATATCCACATCATGAAAAAATATGGTTTATAGAGTAACTACATTAAAATTAAAGACATTTTTATGTTTATCAGTAAACCTCAGAAATTACTCCAAGTCATATTAACATTAAAGAGAGCATGTACTCAGTAAGGCATATATATCAAAAGTTTTCTTCAAGTGGGGAAATAGATAAGTTGGGGAAGACAGAATTTCTATCTGTTTCATCGTGTCTGAAACAAAAAACACCCCACCCTGAAAAAAGAGAGAGGGGAAGGACAGACAGACAAACTGAATAAAAAAATTAATTTTGGTCATAGTGAGGTTCATGAAATTCCTAACTCCAATTTGTATGTATCTTATAAGATATTTTATCTGCATGCCTTACAAGTCATTATCATAAGAGTGGACTGTCACATACATTCCTACGATCAGAGCTCACAGGCACCAAATCTCAGGAACCTACTGCTGAAGGGGGAAAAAGGTCACATTTAAAGAATGAACCATCCCAATGGGTGAGCTTTAATTACAACCCATTCTCAAATTCTCAACCGAATATTTCTCTTTAGGAGAAAATTAAACTGTTTATCAAGATCTGTTCCATAACAAAGAGAGCTAGAATACTAGAGAATCTAAACATATATTAGCTAAATGTATTAGCTCTCTTATCATTTGAGGACAAAAGGCATTTTCTTGGGAAAGAGAAACCAGTATTTGGCAACTGTCTATTGTTGGGTAATCATTGGCATCTCTTGCTGAAGGTGACTTACTTTTAGCCTTTCTCTATACTAGATTTGGACTATTGCTATGCCCACTATTACAAAGTACCAAATACAAAAACACATTGTGGTTTTCTGAGTGTTATCAGTGTTCTAAAACCCATTTTGGTATTTAAAAAATAAAAACAAAGCATCTTTAACCCTGCATGAATCCAAACATTGTAAACTCACGAAGCTAGAATCACTAGGAAAATTATGCTCGTCTAACGCACATTCTGCTCAACCAAAATGTCACGTAGTTTTTTAAAGAATAAAATAGGCTAAGAGTTAGTAGGTCCAAAATTTCACAAGTTCAGATTATATGTATCATTCCTGCTGTCCAAGTACCATACTGAGACCCCATGTCTGTCAAGCAGATCAGTGTAGTTCAATGGTGATGGATGAAATATTTACAAGCATTTATTTACAGTACTTCTTTCTGTCCAAAGAAAGAAGATTATTACAGACCAATATTCTTTTCTTCCATTCCTAGTCAATCTGAGTTTGGTTTCCTCAATGAGAAGGGGTAAATCTGAAAATGGCTGCTCAGTTGCTTTACCTATGAAAAATCAGAACATGAGACAATGACAAATATGTACCTTATTACTTTTTAAAGCACACAGAATTTACCCCATAGAGGTTAACAATTCATTGACATGGCAAAAGTCATGATAAATACTGAAGAGGTTTTTCTGGATTAGGATAGCTATAAGAGCTAGACAGCTAAATGGGAGTGCTAGAACTACCCTGGGAAAGTTAGGACTTGGAACTAAAATCTAGTCTTCAGAACACTCAAGACCACTCAAATTCACAACCAAATCTGAAAAACTATAGGATTAGTTGACCTGTAGTATCTAGATCAAGTAATCATATTTATAGTTAGATTTAATATTCAGCTTGCTGAAACATTTCTAAGTAACCTTTCCTAATCCCGATGAAATAGTAGAAAACTAGATCTATGAATCTGGGGAGGCCTTATTAGTTAGGGTATCTCTAGTGGGAAAGCAAGAGCTTAGTTATAGGCCAGTGAGTGCATGTCATTTACTTGATACTTATTATTTATATTTCAGTAGTTCAGTGAATATTTTGTGTGGCCTAGCAAGTTTTATCTTCTGGCCAGAAGTTGTAGAAGTGGTAAAAGTACATACAGACAGACAAAAAAGATGATCCTAAATATTTTTCCAGTTAGCTTATTTATTTTCCAGATTTTTAACAATGAAAATGTAGTCCCTTCATAAGTAAAAAGAAAAATGTATTTGGGTTTGGTTTGGCATATCTGTAGTTTTCTAAAGACATGCTTCTAAAAGGCTGTCGTAAATTAAAACAATTAAAAAAGACACTGGCGGCCGGCATGGTGGCTCACACCTGTAATCCCAGTACTTTGGGAGGCCCGAGGTGGGTGGATCACGAGGTCAAGAGATCGAGACCATCCTGGTCAACATAGTGAAACCCCGTCTCTACTAGAAATACAAAAACTTAGCTGGGCATGGTGGCGCATGCCTGTAATCCCAGCTACTCAGGAAGCTGAGGCAGGAGAATTGCCTGAACCCAGGAGGCAGAGGTTGTGGTGAGCCGAGATTGCGCCATTGCACTCCAGCCTGGGTAAACAAGAGCGAAACTCCGTCTCAAAAAAAAAAAAAAAAGACACTGGCAAATGGAGATTCTATGCCATGCATATATTGATGAAATACCAGGAAAAAGGCCCAAGAGTGTTGATATAAGGCATAAAATGTTACATTTGTACAAATAAAAACAAAAATAATTATGTCTTACATCACAATTCATCACATTTTTTTTTCCTTAGCAATTTTGTCTAGTTTGTTCTAACAAATGAGGGCGACTTTGGAGAGAAACACTAAGGGAAGAAAGCCCACATATGGCAGCACATGCAAGGTGTAAAGTTGTTATCAAGCATGATACCTGCCTCTCCCACTTAAGAACTGTGTATGAAAATACAGAAGATATTTTGTTTCTCAAACGGATTTACAGTAGGGTTCCTTTCCAAACATATCAAAGAGAAGTACTGTAAGAGTCATAAAAATGTGAATAGCCTATCACAACTCCATTCCTGTGAAATTATCCTCAGAAAACAAAACAAATGAAATAAAAATATTCTAGATTGTTTATGCCAACTTTTTTTTTTTTTTTTTTTTTGTGAGACAAGGCCTCACTTTGTCACCCAGGCTGGAGCACAGTGGCATCATCTTAGCTCACTGCAGCCTTGATTTCCTAGGCTCCAGCGATCCTCCCACCTCAACCCTCCAAGTAGCTGGGACCATAGGTGCACACCTGGCTAATTTTTTTTGTAGAAACAGGGTTTTGCCATGTTACCCAGGGTGGTCTCGAATTCCTGAGCTCAACTTAGCCTCCCAAAGTGCTAGGATTACAGGCGTGAGCCTCCACATCCAGCATAGACAATATGTATAACAGTGAAAATCTGGAAACAACCTAAATGATTAAAATAACTGGGCCGGGCGTGGTGGCTCATGCCTGTAATCCCAGCACTTTGGGAGGCTGAGGCGGGTGGATCACAAGGTCAAGAGATTGAGACCAACCTGGTTAAAATGGTGAAACCCCATCTCTACTAAAAATATAAAAAATTAGCTGGGCATGGTGGCGCATGCCTGTAATCCCAGTTACTCAGGAAGCTGAGGCAGGAGAATTGCCTGAACCCAGGAGGCGGAGGTTGCGGTGAGCCGATATCACGCCATTGCACTCCAGCCTGGGTAACAAGAGTGAAACTCCATCTCAAAAAAAAAGAAAACTGTGCTGTGCAAGGTCATTATTAAGTAATCTCCTTGGTGGAATTTTGCACAGCCTATATTAAAATATGTAAAATAATTAGAAAAGAATGTTAAAGTGAAAGAAAAACCACATGATTCTATTTGATTTCATTATCTATATTCATGCACTCATCCTGAAACTAGTTAATTTTAGAAGAAAATATTAAGTTTACAAAATATTTCTTAAAATCCATTTTCTTCTATATTTCCCCTTATTTATTTCTTTTGCTGATGAGGGCTCGAGAATAGCATAAGTGAAGTAAAACTTCAAATAATGCAAAAGTCTTCCTTCAGTCAGAAATTCTAATCTCCCTCACCTCAACTGCTTATCAAACTGGGCATTGGGAGGGGAAAAGCACTATAGGACCAATTTTAGTTTCTTTCCAAATTTTGTTAATAAACAATAAAAACACCCCTAAAAGCTAAGAAGCAAGTAAAAAAATAATCAACAAATGTGATTATCTGGTCCCATATAACTAAATGCCCAAACAGTTTACAATTCTACTCACCAAGAAAATGGCTTATACGTACCCACTTACAATAAGAACTAATTCCTCATAATAATTACCCAGCTTTAAAATCATTTGTAATTACAGTAACATACTCATTAGAGAAACAATATCTGAAACTACACATCTGGATATTATCCACAATTTAGAGACTATCACAAAACGCTTACAGCTGCTATAATAAGCAACTTTCTTTTTAAATTTTTCCATTGCCTTCTTTCTACTAGGAAACATTTATTGGTTCCATTTATAAGACCCAACTTGTACCAATTTTGCTGTAGATTACTCACCACTCGTACTCCATAATGGATGTGGGCCAGAGTGAAAGCAGTTGTTAATGTATACAGGATAATGCTCTCAATGTAAGAGGACACTCCTAAGTTTACCACTAAGACAACCAAGAAGAGAGGAACCAGCAACCAATTCAAAGTTGGACACCGGGTACTACTCATTTGGCAAACAATCAGCTGACACTGGAAGTTAGTTTAAAAAAATAAGAAAGAAAAAAAGAAAATTTTCATTAGCAAAGCACTTCCAAAACTAGTCATTCCAACATCTGAAAAGCATTCAAGTACCTGAGCCAATACACTTACATTATCTAAGTTCAGAAGTTCTCAATGCTTAGAGGCCCAACTGGACCCTTGGCCCACCACAAAAACCATGGACCCTCAAACCATGGACCCTCAGAGTATATGTCAGCAGAGGCTGGAAGATAACTGAATAAGGATGCTATAGCAGGCATTCTTCCACTGGGCAACAAAAGAAATTTCTCTCAATTTTAAGACTCTATGATATGCAAAAAAATGATAATAAAAATAAAAAATAAAAAAATTCAAAATAGCCTCCCACACCCCCACACAATTAAGTGTCTTTATGGCAATGATGAAGAAGTGCTACCTCCAATTCAGTCCCATTGCCATCATTAATATCTCAAACCCTCTTCGGCTCCTTTACTTTTGAAGACCTTACTTAAATAGTTTATTCTTTCAGAGATATATTTTGCACAATGCAGTCATATTTTTAGATATTTAAACCCTATAAAATCAGAAGGACTTGGGACATTACACATGTTACAAACATGGAAACATAGGATGAGTAGCAAAGTTACAAAATAAAAACTTATAAAGACCCAGCCTGGGCCGGAGCACAGACTTTCTGGCTTTCAGGACTATCAGGGTCTTTTCTCAACTACTGATTTCTGCTTCCTGTCTGCTTCTCTTGCATGGTCCAGCATGGGAAGAAATTGATAAAAAATACATTCTATTTATTACAAAGTTTTAAATTCCATGTTCTTAATTTTAAAATCAGCTGATTTTTAAAGCGTGTGTTTTCTCTCTATCAGAAATCTCTTCCAAGCTTCCTAGAATAATCATTTAGGTCTGCAGCCATTTCAGCCATCCTGGTAATGCATTTAGAGACTAAAGGGAATTTACAAACTTTTTCCATGAATTCTTCAGCAGAGAACCAAAATAAAAAATTTAAGTGTGCCACGGTTCCAAACTACTACTGTAGTCTCCAATCCTATTGGTTTCAAAGGGCAAAATAAAACAATTTTCAGCATTTCAGTCTTTGAGGTTATTATTCTTTCAAATTTCTGAAATAAAAATCTTTATATTAAAATGTTTATTCTAATATCAAAGATTTTTTGAATTATCAAATTCTGTCATACATTCCTAAATATATATTATAATTTTTTCTTTTTTTAAATATATAGTATGATTTTTTTAAAAGAAAAAATCTTACTGTGATATTGGCAAAGGCTGTTCCAACCATAAAGTAGAATATTCTAGGATGTATCTCTAAAATATCTGAAGGTGACCAAAGGATCCACGCTGTAGACAAAATGAACAGCAAGCATGGAGAAAAGAAGGGAACCATAGCTTCATAGACTGAATTGTGTTTCAAGGTGTTATTTTTATAGCTTCTGGAAAAAAGAATCAAGTAATACAAAGAACATTACATAGAAATTGTACAGTACTTATACTGCAATTTATAGTTTCCATATTTATACACTTATTTTGCACTCACAAAAATCCTGTGGCATAGACAGAACCAACATCATGAATCCCATTTTGCAGACAGGTTAAGTGAGGATAACAGAATTTAAATTTACAAAACTTGCTACCAAGTGGCAGGGCCAGGGTAGAACTGAAATTTTCTGACCTCTAGTCCCATTTTTTTTCTCTTTAAATCAAACTATCAACTGCTGTGCTAAGAATATGAAGATGAATAAAATTTGGACTTTGTTCTATAAGATATTCTAATGGAGGAAATAAGATGAACATAAAATATTCAAAGAGTACCTCAAAGTGCGACTTTGACACAAGTCATAGAGTAAGACAGAGCTCACATGAAAGACTCTGAGGTGCAACTGCCACACCACATCTCTGTGTCTCTAAGCACAAAGGAGGTTATCCAGTACACATCTGCTCATCTGAACAGAGCTCCAAATGCCAATCCTGGTTATGCCACTGATCACCCCACCTTGGGCAATATGTTGCCCAATCAGAGCCTCACTGCTACAAAGTGAGGAAAAAATGTAGAGAAATAATCTCTACATCCTTCAGAGCTTTAAACTGTATGGCTTCTACAAATGACTGCCAACTCCAATAAATGAAGAAGATTCATAGAACTTGGTTTAACATAAATAAGATTCTGCTACACAGATTCGAGAGCTAAAGGATGAAGTGGGAAGTATAAGAAAATGTTTCAACCGGAGGAAATAGTAGCAAAGGAAACAGTGGGAGCAAAATTACTAAAGCAGGAAAGAGGAAAATCTATTCAGGACCCAATAAGCAAATTCAGTATGGCTGAGCAAGAGTGGGGAAGTGCATAGATCAGAGAAATGAAGCTCTACCTGAGCAACTCCCGTCTCCCCGCAACCCAGACAGGAACTTCTAGAAGAGCTATTTAAGAAAAGTCAGCACAGGTCCAGTTTGGTCCTAAACTACACACATTCAGAAATTTTATGATCTTGTATATGTAAGATCATAAAATGTAAATGTATTAATATTCAATAGGGACATATTCCCTCCTGGTGAAAGATTCACTTAAAAAAGTGACACTAGAAGGCTATTTAAAGAGTCCAAAACCATACAAAAGAACTAGTAATTTTGTGCTGTGTTTGAAATGACTACATTAGTCACCACAGACACCATAAACTATCCTACTGCATCCTAGATTTAAAATATAGGTTTTGTGATCTTTTCCTTTTTTTTTGAGACGGAGTTTCGCTCTTATTACCCAGGCTGGAGTGCAATGGCGCGATCTCAGCTCACCGCAACCTCCGCCTTCTGGGTTCAAGCAATTCTCCTGCCTCAGCCTCCCAAGTAGCTGGGACTACAGGCATGCGCCACCATGCCCAGCTAATTTTTTGTATTTTTAGTAGAGATGGGGTTTCACCATGTTGACCAGGATGGTCTCGATCTCTTAACCTTGTGATCCACCCACCTCGGCCTCCCAAAGTGCTGGGATTACAGGCATGAGCCACCACGCCCTGCCCTTGTGACCTTTTCAAAATGTCCTGGATCCAAAAGGAAAACAGATCCCTAAGTTCGGCTAACTGCTAAAACTTTTGATATTTGTTGTCCATTTAAAAAATAAAATACTTACCTGAAAAAGTTTAATAAACTCATTGGAAGAGTCACACATAATGCGCAGCCTAAAGGGAAAAATATTTCAATCATTATGCTTATTCAAGAGTGATGATTACATTATCACTGAATCCATCCAAAACAAATATTTTTAGACCCCAAAATTTTCAGGTTCAAGTTTACTTTTGTAATAAAATTAAATACATTTACAAATAACATTTACCACAGGAAGAGTGGCAGTACAATTTGGTGATTCGGAGGGCAGACTCAAAGAGCCAGCTAGGCCTCAATTTCAGTTGTACCACAAACTGGTTATGGGACTCTAGGCAAGTTGCGGTTTTAGTGCCTCACTTTCCTTATTTATAAAATAGAGATAACAGTTGTACCAACCCCACAGAGTTTTGAGAAGTGAATGAGTTATGACATGTTAAGATACCTGGAACAGTATGGGAAACTGAAACTGCAGAGTAAGCATGAGCTACTCGAAAGGGGAATCGTGTTGCTTCCCATTTACTTTTTAGCCTCCTAGCTTTTTTTGCCCAGGCTCTGGCTATATTGCCCAGGCTGGCCACGAACTCCTGGAGTCAAGCAATTCTCCTACCTCAGCCTTCTGAGCAGCTGAGTCTATAAGCATGAGCCACCACACTCAGTCTTCCTAGCATTTTCAATTTCTCCCCCTAGCTACCCCCATCTGCATACTAGTTCTCTCCCCACAAACTTAAGACAAAGATGGGGCCTTCCCAAGAAACCCTACCACTGATTCTGCTGTCCTCAGTATCTGCTGTCTTCTTCTGCTTTGTCTTATCATTTGCTAATCCAGTAGTCCTCAATTTCTTAGCACTCCTTTTATTCACTGTGTTCCCACTTTGCAGAAACTGTACTCTTGAAATCTACCAAGATTTCCTAATGTTCAAATTCAGTATCATTTTTTCATTCCTGACTTCTAAGTGAAATGCCTTGGTTGACTATCCACTACACTGCAATTCTTTCCTCCCTTTGCCTTTGTGATCCCATTCTCCCTGTTTCCACTAGCCATCTCATCATTTCATTCTGTGTCCATTGCTGGCAATTCGACCTCCTGCATATTACTACCTTGGTGCCCCTTCTAAACACTTGCTAAGACATCTGGCTAGAACCCAACAGAAATCTTATCTCTAAAGAAGATACTCTGCTACTTCCAAGTCCAAGTAGAACAAAGTACTCTAAATTAGACAAACTTAGAGGGAAAGGAAGGAGAAGACCACCTGAGGTCCTCAGTGTTCTCAGGAATTTTTAGCAGCTTACTCCATGTCAAGCTGGGAAGCACTGGAGGGGAGCCAAGGTTAAATGAATTAATGCAGAATTACTCATAGCTCTGAGGTGTTGGAAATAGGCTGAGAGAAACTAGCAAAAGATTTGCCACCATGAGTAATTTTAGTTTTAAAAATCTTGAAATAACTATCTCAAGTATAGTGAGCATGTAGAAAGGCTGGGCTCTATACAGGCTGCATCTTCTGATTCTTCTCTATAGTACTTAATGTACTTTCTGTAACCAGTACTTAATTGTTCAATACTTATCTATGAAGCTCTATGTTTCAAGTAGAGAACAGTGATAGAGACCATACATATGAAGACCTGCTTTTCATCTTGCCATAAGTGAAGGCCCAGACTTCATAGTATAGGAAACTTAAGAGGTATAGGAAAATCAGAGTAGAATTTGTTTAAAAAAAAAAAAAAAAAGGACCAAGTTCAATGAGACACATTCCAAAGATAACATGGTCATAAAAAAGTATTTGGTTCCTCACATTTTCAGTTTATTTATTAAGTAGGAACTTCAATTAAAACCAACAAGACAAAAAGTTCCTTAAGAAAAGTTAAAGGAGAAACAACAAATGGGGAAAACTATAACCTATATCAAAGAATGAATATACCTAATATATGAAGACCTTCTAAAAATAAAGGAAATGGCCAACAACCCAATAGAAAAAAATCTGCTTGCGAGATATAAAAGTACAGAAGACATACAAACGGCTCTTAAACACTAGAAAAGTTCACTCATAATAACAGAAAGGCAAATTAAAACTATACAGACACATCATTTCTTACCTATCAGACTGGCAAAAATCCAGACGTCTGACAATAGACTATGTTGGTCAAACTGTAAATTAACAAGCACTTTCATACACTGCTGGTGGGAACAGAAAATCACACAACCCATATGGAGGGGAATATGGGAATGTTTAGCAAAATAGCACACATTTGTCCTCCACTAGCAATTCTACTTCTAGGGACTTCTTCCTCAACACCCTGGCAAAAGTATGAAAAGACTGATATATAAGACTATTCACTACAGCAATCTGTATAACAGCAAAAACTGGAACTAATCCAAAAGTCTATTGATGGTGGCTGGTTGGACACACTATGGTACATTCATGCAATGAAGTGCCAGGCAGCTGTAGGAAGACTGAGGAAGATCCTTATAGACCACTACGGAGTGGCTGCTAGGATATACGATTAAGCAGGGGGAGGAAAAAGGCACAGTATGGTACAGTATATACACAATGGAATGCTACCATTTATCTATGAAAGTGGGTGATAAAATGACACACAAATTTTTACTCATAATAAGAAAGAAACAAGAAAAGGTAAGCCATAAAATTAAAAACTAAGAATGGCTACCTCTGAGGAAAGACAGGATTGGGTAGCAACAGAAGGCAAATTAAACTTCTTTGAATATACCTCATTCTGTAAATTTGACTTTGTCGTCAGAAATATTTTACTAATTATAAAGGGTAAATTTTAAAAGAAAGAGTAATTCCTAAAAGTCAAAGTAAAATAAATAAAGCTGTAAGTCCACGACTGGTGGCACAATCACAGAGTGGTGACTGTAAAATACAGTCAACTGCCTGGACATACCTAGTAGGGTAAGACATAAGGATGAACAAAACTGCAAAAAACAAAATCTTAATTCTCAGTTTTCTTCTTTTTGCTGATTTAGGTACTGTATTCTGAGACTATTGTGAGTATTTCATGGAAGAAAGCAAGTGAGTATTCTATGTCAATGAAAACCAAGGATTTTGCCAAAGTTTAAAGGAGATAAAAATGTAAGATCAATGAAGTAAAAGTTCTGTACTATCATATTTGCTTTGGAATTATCAGCATGTATGCACTTTGTCATAAAACCAAAAACTTGATTTCCTTACCTATCCACTGAATGAATGAATTCGTTAAGTCATGATAATCAATGTCTGTTAAGTTTAACCCTTAATAGTTTAAGGTAGCCGGTTAAAAACGAAACAAAACAAACCTATTAGGTAAATAGGTAAAGCGATGATGCAAACTTTGTAGGAATGGAACAGACATACAAAACATGAACCCACTACGTGCCTCCTAATGTGATGCAGTAGAAAGACCACTACGTAGCAAGTACGCCCCCGCCCCCACCCCGTATCAAACTAACCTCACAGATCTAACTATCATTTACAGGAAAGTCAGAGGCAGAGGAGAAAATGCAGAATCTAAGAGTTCTACTGGCCAAATGACCCACTTTCTTCAACACATAAACGTCAAAGAAAAAATAGGGAAAAGCTATGTAGATTAAAAGAATTTTTTTTAATGCATTTATTTATGTATTTTGAGACAGAGTTTTGCTATTGTCACCCAGGCTGGCAATGGCATGATCTCAGCTCACTGCAACCTCCGCCTCCTGGATTCAAGTGACTCTCCTGCCTCAGCCTCCCGAGTAGCTGGGATTACAGGTGTGTGCCACCACACCTGGCTAATTTCGTATTTTAGTAGAGACAGAATTTCACCATGTTGGCCAGGCTGGTCTCAAACTCCTGACCTCAGATGATCCACCTGCCTTGGCCTCCCAAAGTACTGGGATTATAGGCATGAGCCACTGCACCTGGCCAGATTAACAGAAATTTAAAAGGCATACCAACCAAAGGCAATGTACAGGGACTTGGCAGCTACAGAAACATATCAATTGTGGTTCTTTTTTTACAGAAATCCTTATTATTTAGAGATAAACAATTAAATATTTATGGATGAAAATAAATGGTATCTGGGATTTGCTTTAAAATAATCTAAAGGAAGGAAGATGTCTATTAATGATGGCATAAAAAGGAAGGACAATTCTCACAAATAATTATTAAAAACCAGACAAAAATATTTAAAACAACGACTTGAAGGTACTAGAAAATACTCAAGGGCAGGCAGAAATTTGAGAAGCATTTACACTTGAAACACTGGGGAACAACTCCAAGTTCATGGCTTGCCTACCCCCAGCCCAGCCCAGATGATGGAAAGCTACAGTCTTCCTTACCAGCTTGTGGAGGCAGACAATAGAATGTAGAGCAGCAGAGGTACTACAAGGTAGGGTGGGGGTATTGTAGAAGAGAGAGATGCAGAAGGGTTGAGATTCTAAACCCGAGTAAAAACTCTGCCCAAATTCCTGGGTGGATGCTAAACTAAGCAAGCAAATAGGGGACCCCATAGAACATAGTGAAAGAGAAGGCAGAAAGTAGAGGAGATGCTGTCCTTGAAAGACAGAGGTATTCTTGGTGTGATGTGAATCTGTTGTGTCTCTCACTAAGTGTGTTTCCAACCCACACTCAAGACTGGGCTGAAGAAGGCAGAACCTTACTGGCTTGACGTGATGGGGGCGGAACACAATTGCTGGAAACACAGCTGAAGATTCAGGATGGGGAAATCCCAGAAGCAAGAAAATCACAGAGAGGTGAATGCCAAAATCTCAGTATCAACTTTGCCCAAATCTCTGGCTCACCACTAAACTATATAGATACAAAGGAGACCCCCAAGAGACCTGGCTAAAAAAGCAGCAGCTAATAAGCTGAAAACAATCAAAGACAAGAGCTACTATATAATGTGATGGGACAAATTTTTCCATCTGAGTTCCAACAAGTTAAATGCCTATCAGAACAAAAAAACAAAATCTTCAGCGCAGAACAGATTATAGTCTCCACAAATGTAATCTATAATATTCAGTTTTCAACCAAAAAAAAAAAAAATGCTAGATATGCAAAGAAATAGAAAAAAAAGCAGTCAACAGAAAATAACTCTTAAGTGGGCCCAGATGTTGGACTTAGTAAACAGACTTTAGAGCAGCAATTTTAAATATGTTCAAAGAGCTAAAGGAAAATATGATGATAATAATGAACAGAAGAATCATGACAAAGAAATACAAAGTTTAAAAACCAAATAGAAATTCTAGAGCTGAAAAGTACAATAAGATTTTTTTTTCTGTTGCCCAGGCTGGAGTGCAGTGGTGCAGTTACAGCTCACTGCAGCCTCGACTTCCTGGGCTCAAGTGACGCTCCTGCCTCAGCCTCCCAAGTAACTGGGACTACAGGCATACACCACTATATTCGGCTAAATTTTTCTACTTTTTGTGGAGACAGGGTCCCACTCTATTACCCAGGCTGGTGTTGACTTCCTGCCCTCAAGCAATCCTCCCACCTCAGCCTCTCAAACTGCTGGGATTACACTCATGAGCCACCGCACCCAGAGAAAAGTACAATAACTTAAATGAAAGATTTCCTAGATGGGCTTAACAGCAGATTGGAGATGGCAGAAGGAAAAAAAGCAATGAACTTAAAGATAGATGAATAGAAGTTATCCGCTACAAAGAATAAAGAGATTAAAGAAAACTTAATAAAGCCACAGAAAATTACTTTTAGGACAGTATCAAGCAAACCTGTATGACATACATGTAAGTGGAGTCCCAGAAGAAGAGAGAGGGGAAGAAAAAATATCTCAAAAAGTAAAACTATGATGGAAAACTTCCCACATTCAGTCAAAAATACTAACTTACAGGTCCAACAGAGTCAACCAGCTCAACAAATACCAAGAAAGACAAACACAAAGAAAACCACACCTAAGTACATCTTAGTCAAACTTCTGAAATCCAAAGATGAAAAGAGAACCTTGAAAGCAACAAGAGGAAAATAATACATTACAGAATGACAATGATATATGAACTGACTCAGAAACAATGGATGCCAAAAGACATTAAAATGATATATTCAAAATGTCGAAAGAAAAAATTCGGGCAAAATCAATACATTTCACATAAGCAAAAAGAGAGAATAAATTGCTACCAGACGTGCACTATAAAAAAACCTAAAGGAAGTCCTTCAAACTTCTGGAAAAGAACACCATATGGTAGGTCAAATATAAAGGCAAATGAGTCAGTAAGTAAAATAAACTGTATATTATGACACAACCCGGGGGCTAGAGAGTGCTGGTGCATTTCAAACAAGATTGGCACTGGTATTGAAAATAGTTGAGGCTGGGTAATAGTATAAAGGAGTTTATTACATAAAAGTAGAAACATGATATGAAGAAAATTATGTGCCTGTTAGAGTAGACACTTAACATTAAAAAAAAAGTCTCATATATCAGAGGATTCTGTCTGATGTAAATTTAACATTTAAATGTAACATCCAGGAAACCTGTCATGGGACAATCAAAAGGGTTGCTACCTAATCAGAGAAGAAAAATAGCTTTTCAAGGTAAAGAAATAACAGTTTATATAAGTATCAAAAATTAACATTTGATAGACTACAAGATAGCTCCTAAAATATGTGCAGTCCAGAGCTTCAGAAAAAAGCCCAAACCACTCCTTTTCTGAAAGCCAGTGCCTAATATGCCATCTTCTGAGCCTTACCTAATTCCCATTCCATTACCATGGTTTGCCAAATGGGAAAGGGTTATTTTTTATTCATTCCCTCTTTTTTTTTAGACAGGGTCTCACTCTGTCACGCAGGCTAGACTGCATTGGCACACGCGATCATAGCTCACTGTAACCTCCTACTCCTGGGCTCAAGCAATCCTCCCACCTCAGTAGCTAGCATTACAGGCGCATGCCACCACACCTGATTAACTTTAGTTTTTTCTAGAGACGAGGTCTCATGATGTTGCCCATGCTAGTCTCAAACTCCTGGGCTCAAGAGATTCTCCAACTTTGGACTCCTGAAGTGCTAGGATTACAGGCATTAGCCACTTTGCCTGGCCTATTTTTTTATATAAGAGAACAGAACACAGTACATAGCCTACACGTATACCTTTTTACTTCTACAGAGGTTCTCAGTGCCACTCTTGGGGCCCCAAAATAACCATCTAGATTTCTCTTTACCTCTTTCTGTACCACTAACACCCTCCTCCACTCAATCATCCTATAGATATCCCCCTGTTAGCCAAAATCACAACAGAAAGATTACCACCATAAAAAAATCTTCAGCAATCAGTGGGTTAAGAAGACAGTATCTGAGAGGAACAGATGCTTAATTTTCTGAGTGGATAAATTATGAAATAACCTCTACATTTCATCTGTTCTATATTTCATACAAACTAATAATTTTCAACTTTGAGATAAATATGAAACCTACACCAAATATGAATCCTCCAATACAGCCTAGGTTAATTTGAATACTTCATCAGGCTTGTGTGATCTATTTTGATATTTCCCTCTCATTAGAAATACTTGGTGCTGAACAAAACAAAACAAAACAAACCCTTATATATTTTTCTTAATGGTTAGGCTGAAATCCTACAAGGTTGTAGGGTTGGTCTGCTTTCTGGAGGTTTTGTGAGGGAAAGGGTGTTGTTGCTTATTATAGTCAAATACTGGCTCTTTTGATAACAAAGTGAAGGTTAAAACAGGCTTCAACATGGAGCTTCTTACCAATAATCATTGTAGTGAATAGGTCTCTATATAAGAAATTAAACAGGAAAGGTTCATACCAGGCCTCAACTCCCACAACCGCAGTCACTATGTAGACAAAAGAAATAGTCTGGAAGGAAAATGCAGACAAAAGCATATAGAAGCATTAACGCTAGAAAGATCAGGAGTCATCATGCTTTATGCAGCATTAATCTAGTCAAATAGTTTTAGTAAGAGCAAGAAGTATGCTTATATTTGCTATGTGCCAAATCTTACCTTTAAAAATATGATATTTTCACTAACAATGCTATAAAATAACTAACTTCTAGACAATGCAAGCCACTAGCCATCATTTGGATCCCTTTAACAGCATCTCATAAACTGGTTAAGTTATAAGATGATCCAAGTTTATCCACCCAACCACTTCCTTCAACAAACACTCTAACTTCTGATTTCTTTACTGGAGGCTTCGGTGTAAATGGGCAAAATGGCAACACAAAAAGTTGGGATTCAAAGGCAGGGAGAGTTAATAGCAAGCCCATTAAAGTAAGAAGAAAGAAATCTCTCTACTCACCGAAAAGGTGGCAATGAACACAAAAAGCCAATCATTTAATTACATGTGCATATCTTTCTTTACAAAATCAAGAGTTCAAATGATTATTTAATAACATTAAGAAATTGTTAAATTATTGGTGTAATACTGGCATTGCAATTATGTTTTTTTAAAGGAAGCTCTTATCATTTAGAGATATATAGTAAAGTATCATATAATATTAGAAATTTCCTTTAAAATAATTGAGAAGGGCCGGGTGCAGTGGCTCACACCTGTAATACTAGCTCTTTGGGAGGCCAAGGCGGGCGGATCACTTGAGGTCAGGAGTTTGAGACTAGCCTGGCCAACATGGTGAAACCCCATCTTTACCAAAAATACAAAAATTAGCCGGGCATGGTAGTGGGCACCTATAATCCCAGCTACTTGGGAGGCTGAGGCAGGAGAATCGCTTGAACCCAGGAAGCAGAGGTTGCAGTGAGCCAAGATTATACCACTGCACTCCAGCCTGGGTGACAGAGTGAGACTCCATCTCAAGAACAAAAATAATACAAAACAAAACAAAAACAAATAAAATAATTGAGAAGAGGGCTGAGGGAGGGTATACATGAAACTAGACTGGCCATGTGTTGCTAACTGCTAAATCTAAGCAATGGGTACATTAGGGTTCACTATGCTATTCTCTCTACTTTTTCTCAACTATTCCCTCTACTTTACTGTTCACTATACTATTCTCTACTTTTTTGAAATTTTCCACAAATAAAAATAAAATAAAACATTTAAAGCACATATCAATTCTAATCAAAAAAACCTAGGAGCCATAAAGAACAATGACAAAAACTTTCCAAAAGTATCATGGCAATGTTGAAACTTTAAGGTATATACTTACCACCTGGCTAATGTCATATCCCCATGGCAGGAAAAGAATCCCTGTGTTATACTTTTCCCAGTGGGACAGGATGAAAGAAAACAAAACTACCCATAGTAGTAGATAAAGAACAAAAACACTGACACCAGTTGATCCTCTTCCAAAGATGGAATACACAGTTACAACAAAGTAAACACATGACCAACTATCCAGGCCATGGTCAAAAAGCTCCCCTAAGGGAGTGCTAGAATTGGTTCTCCGAGCTTGCTTTCCGTCTACACCATCTGCAACAAAAACAAACCACAGGAAAAGTTCAACATATGCATCAGGATGGAGAAAGTCTTCTTTAATAAACTAGAGGAAAAAACAAAACAAATCAGCATGTCAACATGGTGAAACCCCGTCTCTACTAAAAATACAAAAATTAGCTGGGCATGGTGGTATGTGCCTGTAATCCCAACTACCTGGGAGGCTGAGGCAGGAGAATTACTTGAACCCAGGAGATGGAGGTTGCAGTAAGCTGAGATCATGCCACTGCACTCCAGCTTGGATGACAGCATGAGACTCCATCTCAAAAAAAAAAGGAAAAAAGAGAAAGGAACAAAATATGATAATAAAGGTATGATATGTCACAAACCATAAAAGAGTACAGATAAGGGAAAGGTTCTCTTTAGGCTAAGATAAGCTAGAATGGCTTTTCAGGCAGGTGAAATCTGAGTAGAGAACATAAAGAATGAGTTGGATTTCAGCTGATAAGAGATAAAGAAGTAAGTCATTCCAAGAGGACGGAATGCCATCAGCAAAACACACCAGGGTGGAAAAGCACAAAGCCTGTTCAGAAAATGCCAAGTACTTTAGTTTGACTAGAAACTAGCATGTGAAAAGTGAAGTATACAAAAAGGTGAAAAAGGAGGTTTGAGCCAGTTTAAAAGTTTTAAGGAATATGGGGAGTTACTAAAGGTATCTGAATAGAGAAATGACAAGAATGAAAGCAAAGCTTCAGGAAGTAGCACCTGACAGTGTGAATGACAGGCTGGAGAGAGGGATGCTAATTAGTAGGCCTCAACTGAGATGAAATGCAGTGGGAATAAGAAGCTGGTAGTAGGTGAGACATCAAGGAAATAAAAATGACAAAATGCAGCAAAAGATGAGACATAAGGCCTAAGGACATGAAGAGAATCTCCAGTTTCTATTCTGGGTAACAAAAAGAGGAGTAGTGTTAATAGAAAAAAGGAAGTCAGAAGAAGCAACAAAACTGACAGATAAGATGCAGAGTTCAATTTTAGATACTGAAATTGAAGTGTTAGTGAGATATCCACATGGTAATGTCAAGGAACTCAATCCAAGGGTACTTATTAGGAACTCAACACAGATGAGGGATAAATATAAACATGGGAATCTTAACTTATACTGTAGAGTGAGAATCACAATTACCAAGGGAATGAGAAGAAAGAGAGTTTAGGATAAAGCACAGTGGAACACCTTCATTTTACAGGCAGAAACAGAGGTGCCTATTAGAGCCAGCCTGTCCCACTGAATTATATAATTCTTCCCCCAAAAGAAACAGTTTTATTAACTAAGTGCATTAGAATTAGACTAATTGTAAAAATTCATATTAAGGAATTAAAAACCCCTATACCTACTGTTAATCTTGCTCACTACAGTATATTCATTCCCCAGTACCTAGATAGGTCTGTGGCATAATATATTGTAGAAGACTATATGAAAAGATGAATCCCAAACTCCCTGTCCAAATACTATAGATTTCTCTTATTCAGCGTTGGGAAAGGTTTTGCCCTTAAGTAGCTAAAATATTCCCAGAAAGTCTTTTCTCATTATTTACTGGTTTAACAATTTCTCGTTTTCAATGTAACTCCTGTGCAGTTATTATAATACCGAATTCATGAACTATGTATTAAGTTTTATACATTTTCTCACTATACCCATTCCATCTCTACAAGTTTGAGGTCCAGATATGCTTCAGTTTTTTTTTTCCTTAAAAAGGTAATTCAGGGTATATATCATATATCATAAAAGACTCCCCAGTAGGACCTAGAGCAGCATCCCGTGATCAAACATATTAGTATTTCTGCAGCAAAATCTCATGAATAGAATAAAAATTATAAACTGCCTCACGTACATTCAAGACTGGTTTGCAACAATAGTTGCAAACCATAGTGTTGCAAACTATCATGTCAGGTCAGGGGTTTGCCAGAAAATTGTGGACCTAGAACAAGTAGATGGTACATCAAAAGGATCTTACGGCATGTTGTCAAAAGTCAGAGCTCACAGGCCACTCTCAACTTTTCCCTATTCCTCTCAGCAGTCCTTGGCAACCAAATCCTTCAGCAGCAATTAAAGACCTGCTCATCTTTAATAACAAATGTGCAAAAGCCCTGCCTAAATATGTAGCTTTTAACTAAGCTTTCCCCTAATTCTTCTAGACGCCACTGACTTCTTCCTACTCCAAACTCTTGCAGATCTGGTCAGCATGACATCTACCATATCAGCATTTAATCATGTAGCAGGTTATACTGGTTTTATGAGAATACGTCATTTTTATCAGAAAAGGTCTAAGCAACTTGAAGTCAGGGTCTGCTACTTTACATGTATTTAAAAACTATGTACTGAGTGTCTACAATACTCGGGATGCAGTAGAACAACATAGTACTCACTTTCACAAAACTTAGCATTTTAGTTAGAAAACAGAGATACTAAACAAGCAGGCAAGTAAACAGATAACATGTTACATGGTTTTAAGTGCTATGGAGAAAAATAAAGCAAGCAAGGAGCATAGAAGAATGAAGGACAAGCCATGCGGATAATCCCAATGAAAAGCATTCTTGGCAGAACAGACAGTATGGTCTAGCACAGTAGGCCTCCCTGACTACTCCCTCTACCATAAAAGAATTGATCACTTCCGGCTGGGCACGGTGACTCAAGCCTGTAATCCCAGCACTTTGGGAGGCCGAGGCAGGTGGATCACGAGGTTAAGAGATCAAGACCATCCTGGTCAACATGGTGAAATCCCGTCTCTACTACAAATACAAAACAAATTAGCTGGGCATGGTGGCGCGTGCCTGTAATCCCAGCTACTCGGGAGGCTGAGGCAGGAGAATTGCCTGAACCCAGGAGGCGGAGGTTGCGGTGAGCCGAGATCGCGCCATTGCACTCCAGCCTGGGTAACAAGAGCGAAACTCCGTCTCAAAAAAAAAAAAAAGAATTGATCACTTCCTTATTTGTTCTCCCACTGTGTTCTATTACTTTCCAAACTTAAGTGGAAATGATATCTTGTTCCAGAGTTTGCAAATATTTTTTAAAGGCCACATGATAAATATTTTTCACTTTGCAGGCCATACAGTCTTTGTTGCAACTATTCCACTGTGTCTTTATCACAGGAAAGCAGCCATAGACAATATATAAAGAATAGGTGTGTGCCAGTAAAACTTTACTAACAAAAATAGGCTACACACCAAATTTGGCCCACAAGAAGCGGTTTACCAACTCCTATCTTATTCTGTGAATCCCTCACAATGAAAGACAATATTTTTCATAGAGAAAGTCAAAACCATATTTATCAACTTGAACCGAATACTAATAAACCTAAGTTAAAATGAATTAAGCACAGGAGAAAATGTTATTTTAATAGGTGGCTATCCTTGCTGATTCACCAGTCACTGACTACAGTAAGTATTTACCAATTCCTTACCTAGAGTGTAGGCCACGAAGTTGAGGATGCCCACTACAATCCAAACCCAGTCAGGCACATGCTTGTGACCTGGTGCTGAAAAGGAAAGCAAGTAAGATTTTAATACAGTTTAACTAAGTAACAGTAGTTCTTACCATAGCATATACTGACAGTGAGAAATGTTGCTCTTTGTTAATTAGAAGTTAAAGTACTTCACAATATATTTTGAATCCAGAACTAGGTAAATAGTACCAGGAAACTGACAAAAGCAAAAAAGCAACTCCCCAGCCCCTCACAAAACAGCACTTATTTTGAGCTTTTAACATAACTCAAGACTGAGTATTCCACCTTTACTTGAAAATAAATAATTTTCATGTGCCTACAATGAAAAATAATATATTTTTGGAATTCAAAAACTAATTGCATTTAATCTAACCCTTGTTGTTATGATTATATTACAAACTTGTATTGAGCCTTTACCCTATCCTTTCTTATACTATTAATTAGCTAAACAAAAGACCTTCTGATTTGGGTATAGATAGATCAATTGAATGATCTGGGCATCAGAATCATTCTGATATATCAGGAGCTCACTTTTCCCCCTAAGACAAAACAACTGAGAATCAAAAAGTCTTGAGTGCTAGTCCTGGCTCTGTAATTAACCAGGGGTGTAACCTTGAATATATCATTTACTCTCTCCCACCTTGTATTTTCCAAATATATTGGGAAAAGATAGTTTATCTGGTCCTTCAACTTCTATGATTTGAAGAAATATATATAACATTTACATACGTTTGGTTCTTTTAATAACTAAGTAAATAATCTTAGAAAATAATATTTCTAGTTACAAAGATACATTCTTTAGGGTGTCCTGATGATTAAAATACATTAAAAAATTAATTTAAAAAATGTAATACCCGAATAATGTTTAATAAAATTTAAATCTTACTTATTATTCACATGTACTTTATGATCTTCTCATGCTTCAGAGTTGGCATTTCCAACTTCAATTACCATTTTATTACATGTACAGAAGCTATGACTAAAAGTTTCAGTAAAGTTCAGCATATATATAGTTTCAATATTCAGAATTTCTGTAATATCAGAAGTCTTGGCCAGGTACAGTGGCTCATGCCTGTAATCCTAGCACTTTGGGAGGCTGAGGCAGGCAGATCACCTGAGGTCAGGAGTTTGAGACCAGCCTGGCCAACATGGTGAGACCCCATCTCTACTAAAAATACAAAAATTAGCCAGGTGTGGTGGTGCATGCCTGTAATCCCAGCTACTCGGGAGGCTGAGGCAGGAGAAACACTTGAACCCGAGGCAGTGGTTGCAGTGAGCCAAGATTGCACCACTGCATTCCAGCCTGGGTGACAGAGCAAGACTCCAGCTCAAAAAAAAAAAAAAGAAAAAAACTCCTTAAGTGTTTGAAACTCCCAATTTTCCTACTAAAACAATGTTGTCAGTGGTACTCAGTTTCTCCAGGTCAGTCCAGAAAAGTCTGCTGAACTCACACACAGATGAATTCTAACACTAAGACTCCTGACTAAACCATTTCTAAGTATTACAATTGGAAAATAAATTATCTTAGGATGCAAAAAATGCCCATCTGTCTCCACCTTTCCATTCCTCTCAATGCAATCAACTCACTGAACAATAAAAACAAACCTTGTCTCCAACTATTCCCTCCTCATCCCAAATACACTCCCAATTCTCTCCTATGATCTGGGGCAGAAGCTGGGTGTGAAACAGAGTGAAGATAAAACGAGTGAGAGCGAAGATGTTGGAGCAGAGGATGGGAGCAGACTGACCACTGGCTCCAAAAGTGCCTCCTTCCTCTCTTCCCCAATAAGGGTTCAGACTTAGCAACAAATTCTTAAGGTCTAAGAATTGTTTTCAGAGGAAACTAGGAGTCATTAAAGTCAAGAAGGGACACAGAGCAGAAGGAAAGACGATCACATTTCCTTCAAAAGAAAGGGGATTTCTCTTTCATGACTAGAAAAGGAGAAGGGATATTCCTAGAACTGACAGGTATACTGAGCCCTGCTTGTATCTGTTTTTAGGCAAAGTTTTGAGTCTTAATTTTCCATCTTCATGTAAACCCAATTATTCTTTATCTGCCAAAACCTCACTGCTTTTTAGACAGCATGTCTAATTCAATAGGCAAGGTGATGCCATTATAATATCCAAAATTTTTTGGAAATACAAACATTTTAAGAGAACCAGAAAATAACCAACCACATTTCATTTTTCTCAACTCATTTTAAATTTTATATTAAAGTAATAGTCTTACCTGAAGCATAAAAGTCAGGATCAAAGTATGCCATTAGTAGAAAATTGAATACAACCAGCAGAAAGCCAGAAAAAGTTATCAGATTGGGAGCCAGCCAAGTAGGAAATATCTATTTTTGCAAAATAATTAAAAAATCATTAAAGTAGAAGAATCTCTGTCCAATATACTATAGCATGCAAATTAAAGTCATAATAAAAGTTATCAATTTGAAAGATCATATGCAGAAGTTACAGACTTTAATATGTAAACAATCATCTCCATTGCATTCTTTCTTCTATCCTCTATATTTATTTTAACTCTGTAATTAGCAAACTTCTATAATCATAACATTAAATCTACTTTAGAAATTTTTAAAAGACATTTTATTTTAAAAGGGTATAAACTTCAACAATAAGATAAATCAAAAGGAGGATGGGGACGGTAGTTTCTCTAGATATCTTCTTAAACTGAGAACTGCATTTATAATACTCCATAAAATAGGTTAAAATATTTAAAACTTATTGAAACAAAAAGTACATGCATATTAATTATCTTACCTTTACTATAGTGTTCCAAAATGGATGCATCACATACAGAGAAAGTGGATTGGTGTCCACAGCACTGTACTGTTAAAAAACGAAAGAAAATATTCAGAGTAAATCCTTGCCTACTAGTAAACAGATTAACAGTTCTCAAATGAAAATAATAGTAAAGCCAGGTGCAGTGGCATATGCATATAACCTAGCTACTCAAAAGGGTGAGGCCTAGGCCAGGTGCAGTGGCTCATGCTTGTAATCCCAGAACTTTGGGAGGCCAAGGGGGGCGGATGACCTGAGGTTGGTAGTTCAAGACCAGCCTGACCAACAGGGAGAAACCCTGTCTCTACTAAAAATACAAAATTAGCCGGGTATGGTCCCAGTTACTCAGGAGGCTGAAGCAGAAGAATCGCTTGAACCCAGGAGGTGGAGGCTGTGGTGAGCCGAGATCATGCCATTGCACTTCAGCCTGGGCAACAAGAGCAAAAACTCTGTCTCAGAAAAAAAAAAAAGGCTGGCCAGGCATGGTGGTTCAAGCCTGTAATCCCAGCACTTCAGGAGGCCAAGGCAGGCAGATTATGAGGTCAGGAGATGGAGACCATCCTGGCAAACACAGTGAAATGAATCTCTACTAAAAATACAAAAATTAGGCCGGGCGCGGTGGCTCAAGCCTGTAATCCCAGCACTTTGGGAGGCCGAGGCGGGTGGATCACGAGGTCAACAGATCGAGACCATCTTGGTCAACATGGTGAAACCCCGTCTCTACTAAAATTACAAAAAATTAGCTGGGCACGGTAGCGCGTGCCTGTAATCCCAGCTGCTCAGGAGGCTGAGGCAGGAGAATTGCCTGAACCCAGGAGGCGGAGACTGCGATGAGCCGAGATCGCGCCATTGCACTCCAGACTGGGTAACAAAAGCAAAACTCCGTCTCAAAAAAAAAAAAAAAAAAAAAAAAAAATACAAAAATTAGCCAGGCGTGGTGGTGGCTGCCCATAGTCTCAGCTATTGGGGAGGCTGAGGCAGGAGAATCGCTTGAACCCTGGCCGTGACCAGGCCACTGCACTCCAGCCTGGTGACAGAGCGAGACTCCGTCTTGGGGAAGAAAAAAAAAAAAAAAAAAAAGGCTGAGGCGTGAGGATCATTTGAGACCAGCCTGGGCAACATAGTGAGGTTCCATCTCCAAAAAAAAAAAAAAAAGAAAGAAAGAAAGAAAAAAAGGGAAAGAAAGTAGGAGAACAAAAATAATACAGGCTGGGCATGGTGGCTCACACCTATAATCCCAGCACTTTGGGAGGCCAAAGAAGGTGGATCACTTGAGGTCAGGAGTTCAAGACCCGCCTGGCCAACATGTTGAAACCCTGTCTCTACTAAAAATACAAAAATTAGCTGGACCATGGTGGCACATGCCTGTAATCCCAGCTACCTGGGAGGCTGAGGCAGGAGGATTGCTTGAACCTGGGAGGCAGAAATTGCAGTGAGCCAAAACCGTGCCACTGCACTTGAGCCTGGGCAACAGAGCAAGATTCAGTCTCAAAAAATGATAATAATACAAAAATAACCTGGAGAATACATCTATTTTATGATGTCCTCATCTGAGTGGCAAAAGTGGAATAGCAACATAAATGAGGCAAAGATTGTCAAGCACAGTCAGATATTGTTATGGGAGGAAGAACAGGTCACAGAGCAAGTCTAAAGATCAACCCCAAATCATGGAGTTAATCAGGGTTCTTTCATTGGTACATACTCATCCAGAGTCTAAATTGCCAGGATAATCTCTGACTCATCCTTTGCTCTCAATCACCTTCTACATTATGGTGTTTCAGCAGAGAAATTCATACTGCTTACATGTCCTCACTTATGCAGGACCAGTAAAATGCACGCTGCATGCATTCAAACACTGACCACACACCTTCTAAACCTCCTTCATTCCTCTCAACTTAGAGGAATCTGTTTCCTCTTGATACCATTACAATACACTTACTAGCTGTGTGACTTTGGGCAGGTTTCTTAATCTCTCTACCTTAGTTTCTTCACCTGTAAAATGAGGATGATAGTCCTTACCTTAAAGGATTGTCATAAGGATTAGATACGTGAAGTGCCCTACAGTAAGCACTATGCAAGTATTAGCTACTAAATTACATGTGTTTTGGCTACCAAAGGAATGACAAATCCCTGTATAGCAGGATCCTGGATTGCATAAACATGCAAAGGAAGACAAAATAGGTTAGGGTTGCATGATTAAAGAGCTTATTCCCCACTTATTGAGCTATTAATAAGAATGTAAAGGAAATTGTAAAAGACATACATAAACATGTAAAACTTTAAGGGTCATGTTGACAACTTATTCACTCTATGCACACATACATTGCTAGGTATGGGGAAGAAGGGATACAAAACTGGTAACAGACAAGTTTTGACCTAGGTAATATTAGCCTAGTTCAAACCCTCCTTGAGGGTTCACAATATTACTTGTGCAAATATTACCTAATTGATCCATCTGAAATTTACATGATATATACCAGTCACATGCTTGAAAAAGTTTTGCTTATATTTTCTATGTATGCTCAGTATGTATACAAAATAAGTACTAATCATTTGAGTATCTGATTTTTAAAAATCATAATTAAAGATCAAAATTTCTTTCTGAATAAGCTTTGTGAATATGCAAGAAATAACATCAGTGTTTCAAGACTTTAAAGTGTAATGGAACAAAGAAGTAAATAAATTGAAAATGTTTAAAATACTGTCATCTAGGTCTAGTTTAGTATACCAGCGGTTGGAGAGATTTTTCTGTAAAGGGCTAGATAGTAAATATTTTAGGCTTTGCAGGCCATATGATCTTTGTAACAAATACACAACACTTGAAACAGGAAAGCAGTCACAGAAAATATGTAAACAAATGAGCATGGCTGTGTTTTAATAAAACTTTATTCACAAAAACAGGCAGACTGGGGGCTTCAGTTTGACAACCCCAACTTCAGACAATCCAATTTGTTGTTAAACCAACACAAACATGGTCTAGGGCAAAAGGAGCATTTCAAGTGGTATATGAGTAGGAAGCAGAACATGACTATAAACCCCTCTTCCTTGATAACTTTTGCTGCTCAAGATACTATCAATTCCTGGGACAACAAAATCATACTGCAGTCATCTGAATCCCCTTCAGGCCTGTCTCATATGGACTGCAAAGCCATCTTTCTCTATGCTAATATGAGGTTGACTACTGGAACGTAGGTGTGACAGTCACTGCATCTACTGTTTTAACATTTCATCTTGCTAAAGGTCAACTCATTTCTACCCTCTCCAGATTTCTTCCGATCTTGGTTTAGTTATCCAAGGAAACAACTATTCCTCCCAAAACTCTCAGCATATAAATCTGGTCATGCTAATAATGCTTTCACTTACGTCTCTATAAAAATGCCAGTTAAGGTAGACCTAAACATTTCCCTCAAGACTGCTATTACAGGCCAGGCATTGTGGCTCATGCTTGTAATCCCAGTGCCTTGGAAGGCTGAAGTGGGTGGGGCAGGGAGGGTCCCTTCAGCCCTGGGGTTTGAGACCAGCCTGGGCTACAAGAGGTTTTTTAAAAACTAGCTGGATGTGGTGGCATGTTCCTTCAGTACTAGCTTCTCAGGAGACTAAGGCAGAAAGACAGTTTGAGCCCAGTTCAGTGCTGCAGTGAGCTGTAACTGCACTACTACACTCCAGCCTGAGCAACAACAGAGCAAGACACTGTATGGTGTTTTTTTTTTTTAAAGATTGCCTATTCCAACATTTAACAATTATTTGGGTATAGAATTCTGAATTGTCATCCACAGCAATTATGTCTATTTTACCCACTTCATGGAAGTCTCTGTGAAAGTCAGTTACCTTAAATAACATTTTCTCAACTATTAGAGAGTTTCAAAACTTTGTAGAACTTCAAGTCAGGAAATAAAGCAGAGTTCATTTTCCATTCATCCATTCATTCAGTGAGTCAAGAAATACTTGACTGAGTGTCTATGATGTTGCCAGGGGCTGTGCTAGACCACTGGGAAGAAAACGGCGATCAAGACCAATGTTTCCTATGTTCACCAAGTCTATAGTCTAGTGTGAGACCAATGGTAAGCAGGAAAACAAGTAAATAATCACAACTTGCGTGTAATCTCAACTACTTGGGAGAATGAGGCAGGAGGATCCCTTGATGCCAGGAATTCAAGACCAGCCTGAGAATATTAGTCTGTTTTCACGCTACTGATAAAGACATACTCGAGACTAGGTTATTTACTTATGTAATTATGTATGTATGTATGCATTTTTTTGAGAAAGAGTCTCGCTCTGTAGACAAAGCTAGAGTGCAATGGCACAATCTCGGCTCACTGCAATTGCTGCCTCCCAGGTTCAAGCAATTCTGCCTCAGTCTCCCAAGTAGCTGGGATTACAGGTGCACACCATGATGGCCTGGCTAATTTTTGCATTTTTAATAGAGACAGAGTTTCACCACGTTGGCCAGGGTGGTCTCGAACTCCCAGCCTCAAGGGATCCACCCGCCTTGGACTCCCAAAATGCTGCGATTACAGGTGTGAGCCATGGGGCCCCGCTGAGACTGGGTAATTTACAAAGAAAAAGAGGTTTAATGGACTCACAGTTCCATGTAGCTGGAGAGACCTCACAATCATGGTGGAAGGCGGAAGGTGAAAGGCACGTCTTACATGGCGACAGGCAAATACAATGAGAGCCAAGTGAAAGGGGTTTCCCCTTAAAACTATTAGATCTTCATGACACTTATTCACCACCATAAGAACAGTACGGGGGAAACCACCCCCATGATTCAATTGTCTCCCACCAGGTCCCTCCTACAATTCATGGGAATTATGGCAGCTACAATTCAAGATGAAATTTGGGTGGAGACACACCCAAAGCAGATTGGCAACAAAGCAAGACACCCCTCCCCACGCCCCTTAAAAAGTAACCCAGGTACACAGTTTGTAATAAATACTATGAAGGGAACTATCAGAATATTATGTAAGAAGAGGACAGGCAGACAGACACACAAGGAAAAAGGCCATATAAAGAGAGAGGGCAAGATTGGAGTTACACTGCCACAAGCC